GTGCAGATGCGCCGCGGATCTTGCGTGCGCCATGGCCGTGCCCATCTCGTCGCAAATGCGGTCGAACATGGACTGCTCCAGCGTCAAAACGCGGGACTGCGTGGCCTCCACAGCGCGCAAGATCACGCTAGTGATGACATCGTCCAGCGCTCCATCTGCGGCAGAGAGACGATCGACCAAGTCGTTGCCCGTAGAGCGAATGCCGGCGATAGCAAGTCGTATTGTTGCGAGCATGCGTTGCAGCTCCTGCACCTCGCCCATGACGCTGCGGACCGTGTCGGCGATGCGTTGTGTCTCACTGGGGATCGAAACAACGCGTCGCCCACCGAAGTGCTTGGTGGAGGTGCTTCCGTGGCCGCGATCGGGGTGGCCGGCGTCGTGGCTTGCATGGTCATGTCAACGTCGGCTTCTTCGACGACCTGCGTGTTCGGGCGCTTGGCTGCCGGCTCCTCGTCATCGCTCGCCGCCGATGCACGAGCGCGCTTGCTTTGGCGTGATGAGCTTGGACTCGCTTGCTCGGAGGTCTGCTCGTTCTCCAGCGTCGAGGCTGCGGTCGACTCCATATCACGTGCGATCTTGCACTGCAAGCCGCCTGCGCTGCCGATGACGGCGACGGGGACCCAAGCCGTGGTTCAGAAGCCCGGCCGCAATGCGGCTTCGGGCACGCGGCTGGTGGCCGACGAGAACACGACGCCTCCAGCGTTGAAAAAGGTGAAGCGCACCCCCCTGGGCGACGTTAGCAGTCGCCTCAACGTTGTGTTCTAGACGCGACCGCGGCCTCTTCCTGAAGGACCGCATCGTATTTTTATTCACACTCTTATTTTATTATCCCACCTGTTTGCCTCCGCTCTTTGGTTTGCCCTACCCACAGAAAAGCACGAAACTGGTTTGCCACCAGGCGTGAATTTGCATGGGCGGACGGTTTATGGCACGCCCTTTAAGTTTATGGTCTTAGTGTTACTGCAACGTTTCTTGTTCATTAGACCGCCGATCGGGTCCGCGATGCCACCGTTCGGCCATTCTGCGTTGGTGGACGGCGTGGTCGGGTGTTCCAAAAGTGAAAAAAATAAATGTTTTTTGGATCTCGAACACCTGGGCGTGCTGGTGAAGTCTGAGGGTCCAAGACTGACGTCGACCGGGTACTGCGCTACGATGTTGAACGCGGGGCCTTTGAACGGCGTGGTGGCGACGTCGGGAGGTCCAAGACCGAGACCGATCGGGTCCGCGATGCTACCTTTCGGCCGTTTTGAGTTGTTGAACGGTGTGGTGGCGCCGGTGCATGGGCGATTCGACGCTGCTTGGGTACCGATATCGTCTGTGAGACCCATCGAGATGGCTCGTTTCCTGTCACTGGCATGGACGAGCCAAGTCCAGGCATGCGGTGGGATCGGGGCGGAACGTCAGCCACCGGCGCAAGCTGTGCTTCCTGTTGGTCATCGCGATGGTCGTCATCGTCGTTGTTGTTGCCACCATCAAAGAGGTGTGGCAACTCGTTTGGTGCAGACGATGGTACAGGGTCCGGGAAGCGAGAGTCGTGGAACGCCAAGGTCGTCGACGTCTTGGGCAGTGACGAGTCCTTGGCCATTGGTACGGCTTGTTTGGGAGCTGGCGTGGCAAAGATTTTGGGTACCAGTGGCGACGTACGTTCTTGTGGGACTGCGATCGTTGGCGTCGCGACCTCGATCGGTGCAGGTTTCGCCGGCGCTTGTACCATATTGGGGTTGCTTCCCGTGCTTTCGACCGGTGAGGTGACGGCGCGGGGACTCTCGTAGAAGTCGTACCTAGCACGTCGCATCAGCATTTCGAGCATAGTATCTGTAAGAACGTGCGAAATCTCTAGAGAGGCGGTGAGCGCGAGCGTGATGCGACTACAATGGAACAAGTCGCGCTTCTCGCCGTCACCTACAGGGCGTCAGCCAACTTCGTCAACAGATAGGCCATGAACCTACCCAGGTACTGGCCGTCGACAATGACGGTGTCACCTGGATGCGCCGATACCTTCACGGTGTCGCCGCTTGGGTCGAAAATGATATGGCGATTGGCGCACTCTGCGATGTCGAGGCGCTCTTGCTCGGTCGCCAGTTTGAAGGCCTCGACGAAGAAGCAGCCGCCGATCACCAGAGTGGATGACCTACATGACGACCCGCGTATGGGCTGCAGAAGCCAAAGCCATTGACGTACCCGAGGATGTAGCGTCGTAGCTTCAGCGTCGTCGCATCATCGAGAGCGGCCGGCGGGAAATTGGTCGGATCCAGGTACAGGATGCGCATGGCTAGCGTGTGGCTGAGCGTCTGGCAACTTTGCAATTGGTGGGTATTTCCGGTGCATGACTTCATGCAGCTAATTTCACGCACATAAAGAGCGACAAGGGAGCTCTGTAGTGTACTAGTATGGGGCAATGTCGAGGTTGAAGTTTGGCGACAGAAGAGGACTGGTGCAAGACACGGAAGGTGCAAATCTCTATAAAGGACTTGCACACATACAGACAGAGCAACCTCGTCGCGCTATGGGGCGTACAGACGTGGCACTACGTTTGAGTTGCGTGCGATTAGATTGTTAACATGAACGAATAAGCTGCAGTATCTTTTTGGAAGGGACGAATTGGCATTGTTATCTGGAAATCGGACCTGGCAACCTCGAGACGGATCAAGTTGTCGCTTCAGTACAGTATACACCAGGTTTCCAGAGACTGTACTAGTAGCAGGGTACTTGTATTGATATATCTACCACAAGTCTTTGTCTCAGAACCGATGTATGCAGATAGAAGTTGAGATTCTAATCTTGAATCGAGGACTATCCTGACACGACTGACTAATAGGCTGTTGAAGGACGTGCGCCGTAGTCGCTCAGCTGGCTCTTGACCTGCAGCTGTGCGGCCACGTCCTTCTTGAGCGCTGATATTGAAGCGCGCATGCCGACTTGAAAGTCTTCGGTTGCCGCCCCTTTTTTCTCGTCGTCCGACTTGAGCACGACCTCGTGGACCGCCGGGTTCAATTTACCCACGTGCGCGTCCATCTTTTTGGTTCTTTAGCGCCAGCACCGATCGAGATGCACGGCATTCTCTATTTCAAGTTTCCTATCGATGACGCAAAACACTCATTGGCTGAAATTCGCTGCTCATCATGATGGTACACGGCCTTTGACTGTCGCTCGCACAGCGGTCGCGTAACACGCTTGACGATCACACGAGCCTTGCGCCTCTGCCTTGCATCGTCCTGGTCCTAACATGGATTCTAACATATTATAATTCAAACTTCATCGTTACGACATTCCAACGATATTATATACAAAACAAGTGTTTGGAATTCGTTTTTCGTGGGCTTGGGCCAAACGAAAAAAATGACTGGCACCAGTCATTTTTTAGTTGGTCATAAATCGCCATGGCTCCGCCCCGCCGCCGCAACAAGACCGCCACGAAGGACCAGTACGCCGCCCTCTCGACCGAAGAGCGCAAGGCTGCCGGTGCCGAGGCCAAGAACCGCGGTAACGCTGCCTACACGGCTGCGGACTTCGCCACGGCCATCAAGGAGTTCACGACTGCCATCGCGTACGAGCCCCACAACCACGCGTACTACTCGAACCGCTCGGCCGCCTATTTGAGCAACGGCAACGCGGCGCCCGCGATGGCCGATGCCAACAAGTGCATTGAGATCGACGCCAAGTGGGGCAAGGG